ATATGTCTAAGACATAACGTCTACTTGGTTGAACCGAGAAGTTGGTCATACAATGCAGGTCTCATATCACTAATTTAATTGAATCATGTTTTGTGAGACATAAATTAATGTACATGTATGTCCTGTCTTAATTGATGTATAAGTCAATGTCATCATTACTATATGAAAAATGGCTACAATTTTCTTCCATAAGTCGTTTTAATTACGCAACGGCACAGATTACTGCTTGGTTAGCTCTCGGAGTCTGTAGACACTGGAATAGTCACGTTCAAGATCATGCTATCTGTAATTTCAGAGTGATGGTGTGGTACCACACAATATCAACTGGGTATAATATTTTATTACTTTGTATCCCTTTGTTATTTGTATTTCCGTTGATACTAGTGTATCAGCGATATATCATTGTTTAGGTAGGTTAACATGATGTTACACTGGTAGAAGGTGTGATACCGGTCCATCTCAAATGTCTATACCCCATGTTTATAAGTTACCGGTACATATATATATAATATCTCATGTTATTAGTATGAACTTGTGTGCAAATTTCAAAATCCCAATGATTATTTGAAACTTCTCTGTAAATTTCTTTGAACATGTGTACCATATATGTCAATATCACGAAATATTTATTTAAAACCCCCTAATTTTGTGTATATCTGTATAAACGTGTGTATTATTTATACCCTTACTTATAGACTGACTGTGTTACCGGTTATGTAAATGTGTATGATATACCATGTATACCCATGTCAGTTTTACAATGTTTTAGTGGTGCATATATAGGTTTATGTTATAGTGCGTCGCTGATGAACCCATCATCTGTCAATGTGATATTCTTCCTTCTCTCTCTTTCTGTCTGTCTCTCTATCCCTGTCACCTGTTGTGTGTCCTCATCACTTTCATTTTCTCATCATCACTGACACTAAGCTGTACCAAAACATACAGAAATGACATAAATAAAACAGTCAAGACAATTTCTCGTTTCTTGTCTTTTATCTACAAAAGGTTTGAAAGTATACTAAAAGTATGGAATCAGACTGGTTTACAGATGTTTTGAAAAAAATTAATGAAGTTTTGTTTTCCTGGACAGTCCTTAATATATTGTAAATTATTTGTGGAATGAACACTACAGAATAAACAGCTGTCCGCTGACTTATAGAATCCTCCAAACTGAAGTACACCAGATATGGCAAATGGTTTACCTTAAGCTTGAGACTCATAACATTGACCTTGAGAGCCAAGTCTTTGCCATTAATTACTCTGTGGTTTTGTCTCCCAGGTGAGTTACATTGTACCCCACATAATGATGATACATAGTACACCCATTAATTTCAATGATTTATAAAATACTCCAAACTGAAGTATGTTGGATATGGCAAATAGTATACCTTAAACTTGAGTTATTATAAAATCGACCTTGAGAGACAAATCTCTGAAAGGGCAGACCAATACAACCCTACATCTTGTGATGATAAATGATGATGCATAAGTACACCATTTACTTTAATTTAGTAAGAGTTTAATTTCAGGAAATAGTAATGCATTTCATTGGCAGTAGGCATTGTCCAGTTGATCTTGGGCCAAGGTTGCCAACGTTGGTAGTGAGAATTGTCCAGGTGACCTAGGACCAAGGCTGCCAACAGTGATTGTGAGCATTGTCCAGTTGACCTAGGACCAAGGCTGCCAGCATTCCCAGTGAGCATGGTCCAGTTGGCCTAGGGCCAAGGCTGCCAACATTGGCATTGAGCATAGTCCAGTTGACCTAGGGCCAAGGCTGCCAACATTGGCATTGAACATAGTCCAGGTGGCCTAGGGCCAAGGCTGCCAACATTGGTAGTGATCATGGTCCAGTTGGACTAGGGCCAAGGCTGCCAACATTGGCATTGAGCATTGTCCAGGTGACCTAGGACCAAGGCTGCCACCATTGATATTGAGCATTGTTCAGTTGACCTAGAACCAAGGCTGCCAACGTTGAAAGTGAGCATTGTTCAGTTGACCTAGGAACCTAGGACCAAGGCTGCCAACATTAGTAGTTATCATGGTCCAGTTGACCCAAAAACAAGGCTGCCAACATTGATAGTGAGCATTGTCGAGTTGACCTAGGATCAAGGCTGCCAACATTGATGGTGAGTATAGTCAAGTTGACCAAGGGCCAAGGCTGCCAACATTGGCATTGAGCATTGTCCAGGTGACCTAGGACCAAGGCTGCCACCATTGATATTGAGCATTGTTCAGTTGACCTAGAACCAAGGCTGCCAAAGTTGAAAGTGAGCATTGTCCAGTTGACCTAGGACCAAGGCTGCCAACATTAGTAGTTATCATGGTCCAGTTGACCCAAGAACAAGGCTGCCAACATTGATAGTGAGCATTGTCCAGTTGACCTAGGACCAAGGCTGCCAACATTTGTGGTGAGTGTAGTCCAGTTGACCAAGGGCCAAGGCTGCCAACATTGGCATTGAGCATAGTCGAGTTCGCCAAGGGCCAAGGCTGCCAACATTGGCAGTAAGCATGGTCCAGTTGGCCTAGGGCCAAGGCTGCCATCATTGGCAGTGAGTATGGTCCAGTTGGCCTAGGGCCAAGGCTGCTAACGTTGGTAGTAAGCATTGTCCAGGTGACCTAGGACCAAGGCTGCCACCATTGATATTGAGCATTGTTCAGTTGACCTAGTAACAAGGCTGCCAACGTTGGTAGTGAGTATAGTCCAGTTGACCTAGGACCAAGGCTGCCAACATTGATTGTGAGTATAGTCCAGTTGGCCTAGGGCTAAGGCTGCCAACATTGGCATTGAGCATAGTCCAGTTGGCCTCGGGCCAAGGCTGCCAACATTGGAAGTGATCATGGTCCAGTTGACCTAGGGCCAAGGCTGCCAACATTGCCATTGAGCATTGTCCAGGTGACCTAGGACCAAGGCTGCCCACATTGGCAGTGAGCATGGTCCAGTTGGCCTAGGACCAAGGCTGCCAACATTGATATTGAGCATTGTTCAGTTGACCTAGTAACAAGGCTGCCAACGTTGGTAGTGAGTATAGTCCAGTTGACCTAGGACCAAGGCTGCCAACATTGATGGTGAGTATAGTCCAGTTGACCAAGGGCCAAGGCTGCCAACATTGGCATTGAGCCTTGTCCAGTTTGTCTAGGGCCAACGCAGCCAACCTATGCAATAAGCATTGTCCAGTTGACCTAGGGCCAAGGTTGCCAACATTGGCATTGAACTTGGTCCACTTGGCCTAGGGTCAAAGCAGACAACATTGGCAGTGATCATGGTCCAGTTGACCTAGGGCCAAGGCTGCCCACATTGGCAGTGAGCATGAGCCAGTTGGCCTAGGGCCAAGGCTGCCAACGCTGGCAGTGACCATTGTCCAGTCGACCTAGGACCAAGGCTGCCAACATTGACATTGAGCAGTCCAGTTGACCTAGGGCCAGGGCTGCCAACATTGGCAGTGAGCATGGTACAGTTGATCTATGGCCAAGGCTACCAACATTGGCGGTGAGCATTGTCCAGTTGACCTTGGGCCAAGGACCTAGGGCCAAGGCTGCCCACATTGGCAGTGAGCATGAGCCCAACGCAGCCAACCTATGCAATGAGCATTGTCCAGTTGACCTAGGGCCAAGGCTGCCAACATTGGCATTGAACTTGGTCCACTTGGCCTAGGGTCAAGGCAGCCAACATTGGCAGTGATCATGGTCCAGTTGGCCTAGGACCAAGGCTGCCAACATGGGCAGTGAGCATTGTTCAGTCGACCTTGAGACAGGAATGCCTACAGTGTATTGAGCCCTGTTCACTCACCCTGGACTCCATGCTTCTAACATTGGCAGTGACTGATCGACTGGAGCAAAGTCAACAAAACGTAGTTGTGAACTAAGGTAGCAATCACTGCAGTGAACTAAGTTGGCCTGGGGCCAAAACTACATTCAACCTTCACTGTCGATTGAAGCCAAGACTCCCATTGGTTGTGAGGTGCTGTCTAGTGGACCTGGATCCAAAGCTACTTCCATAGGCATTGCATCTGCAATGTCGATTGAAGCAAAGACTCACATAAGTAGTGAACGCTATCGAGAGGACCTGGAGCTAAAGCTTCTTCCATAGGCATTGCACATGCAATTTCAATTGAAGACAAGACTCACATTGGTATTGAGCGCTGTCGAGAGGACCTGGAGCCAAAGCTTTTTTCCATAGGCATTGAACCTGTCCTGTCGATTAAGGCCAAGACTCACATTGGTAGTGAGGGCTGTCAACTGTACCCTGAGTCTAATCTACTTCCATAAACATTGCACCTGCACTGTCGATTGAAGCCAAGACTCAGATTGGTAGTGAGTGCTGTCGAGTGGACCTGGAGCAAAAGCTACTTCCATAGACATTGCACCTGCACTGTCGAATACGGCCAAGACTCACATTGGTAGTGAGGGCTGTAAGTGGACCTGGAGCAAAATCTTCTTCCATAGGCGTTGAATCTGTCCTGTCGATTCAAGTCAATGATCACATTGGTAGAGAGCGCCTGTCAAGAGGACCTGGAGTCACGGCTACTTTAATCGGCATTCTGTAGTCGACTAGCAGTTCGTTACGAGCCGAGGCAAACGTTGGCAGAGAGCAGTGTCTAGGCAATGCTTCATATATGTGTATGAAGTGAAAACCTAGAGAAAACAGAAACATATAATGTGTTTCACGATTGTGACATTGTCTTAGAGTCAGGAAAGCAGCACTAGTAGCTGATTATACGACCTTTTGGCAATTCACGAGCAAGCGGCAGATATTAGATAAAGCCTTTCTAACAGTTCATTTAGTATGTATAAAAGACTTGAATGGACTTAACAGATTTGGCCTGGTTAAACAAAACTCATTTTTGTTTTATATGGGGGCAGGCCCCTAATCACTGCTACTCGTTGGATATTCAGCAGAGTTTCAAAAGTCCTGCTTCAGTCACTCAGAATAAGAGAAAGTTGTACGTTTCTTTGTAAAACTCTTACACCTAGAAATGTGAAGATGAAAGGAAAAAAAAGGCATTCAGTTTTGAAAGTTTATTTTCTGCTTATTCGGATGCGATGTTTTCTGGGTCCTTCACTGGCGGGTATCTGGACAGGATCAGGTTGGGCACTGTAAAACAACATTGAGCCGTTACTAGTGACCTGCCGTGTCTGCTTTTTAGCGCATTTTACTGAAGTTTAATTTTGTCTTAGAGATGTCCGCTAGCTTTAGGTCATAATAGATCTTCTTTTCCGAAAGATTTTCAAAGAAAGAAACACGTAAAACTTATAGACGTTGTGTCTTTTGCTAACGTTAACACCTGGATAATTCTTAATACGAGCTAATGCAGTCTAACTTGCATAAGGGGGGAACTATGACGTAGACAGTTTAAACTGAAACCGAATTGTGGGATCCTGGGGTAGAGGACCGACAGAAGACAGATTCAGATGTGTTCAACTTTCACGAACTTTCAGAGGCAGACTTACCAATACCAACAGCCGGGCCGCCGGAAGGGGTGTGGCTGAACCGGGACGCTTTCTGGCCCTGAATCTCGGGGAAGCGACTTGGGTTACGGTAGCTAACTCGCGAGGTTGTGGTCTCGGTGTACACCACGGCGGGAGCCTTTCCTGTGTGAAATATTAACACACTATCATGATGTCACAATTTCGTGTCGAATTACCGCAACAACAACAAAAACATCACTTCAAAGTTTCTTCCAGGAAAAATTGACATCTATTTGGTCATTGTTTTTTTTATGTCTCACTGACATAATGGGGTGATTTCGACTATACTTTACTCTACAGACAACGGGGAAACTTTGATATTTAAAAAACCTTTTGTATCCTTTACTGTATTTTCTAGGGAAGGGGACAAAATTGATATGTAAGTGCACCCATTGCAACATTTAGAAACTTAATCTTTTATATATCTTTTCTGCACCATTTTACGGCACTCTGCACACGTACACAATAACGTTTTTCTACAGTACTTGGCATTGTTCGACATATGTTGGTGAATTGTGATATCATTAAACCAACAAAATATAGTGACGCGGGGACACGGTAGAAAATGTATCAATCGGTTATGTAACAACAGAGACAGTATCAAAAAATATTTGGAAAATGTAAACATTCGGAAAGATAAGGATCTCGACTATTTCAATTTGAGCAACATGTCTATATTGTACACAGATGCGACAGAAACATCCTAGATTCTTAAGGAGCCCCACATCTGTTACCTCATACAATCAGTCAATGGGACAGAACAGCTTTTTTATTATGTCCCCGTAACTTTAGGGGACCGATGGGCCATTAAGGCTGAACACACCAGCTATACGTGCACCGTGTCGTTAAACATACCCATTTCGTTGACGTGACGTATGAGAGGTCCACAGCTGAAGTTCACCCATCCTGGAACAGATTTGGTTAACATTGATCAGTCAAGTACAGTGTTTTGATACTTCATAACACAATGTTTAGTTATGAAACATGGACTGGCGGTCTGGTTGTATGACAACCCTGCGCTCAGTCCTAAAATTGAATAAATCATTATTTTCTTAAATGAAAAAAGGTTAAGGAAACAGGCAAACCCGTCTGTATCGCCTTGACTGTAGTGACGATACTTACGTAAGTGGTCTACCATGGCAGGTATCCTCTTACTGATCTTGTTCAGGTCTGGATGCCATATACCGTAAGCCTATAAAAAAATAAACATTTATAGTAAATAATATAAAACTTCAATCTAAATTATTAAGGTGACAGTACCCAAATCGAATCACCAAACCATCATTATATTAAGTCATTGAAAAATCTGAGGAGGAATTATATCCATTTATGGTTGTATCAAAGGAAGAATATCGACGGGTGTTCTAGCACCCGGGGCTCACTTATGAACTTAAAAACTAATAATCTGTAGACAAAAAATGGTGCATGGCTATCTATTCTAAGATTATTTCATTGTTATGACAGATTTGATGACACATTTATTGATTTAGTATACTTGTCTTTTTTTGCAAAAAGTGATCCAATTTGGGTACTGATCCGATTTGGGTACTGCCTCCTTAAATGCAAAAATCGTGGCAATGAAGCATGGCATGGGACCATTGAAGTTGGTAAATTTGGATCCGGGAACCGAAAAGATAGCGGACAGATATCATTTTGGATGATTTTTTTTACAACAGCTATTTAAATGGTTAAGTTACACGATGACGCTACCGTACCTAGGATTAGTAGAATCCATCACTGATGTGAGGTATGGATAAGGTAATTCAAACCCGAGGGATAAAATATTGAGCAGGAGGCCCGAGACTTTGCCTAGCACCGCATCCCAAAGACAGGCATACCTAGCACCGCATCTCAAACACAGGCATACCTAGTACCGCATCAAAAAGGCAGGCAAATTAAGCACCGTATCACAAAGGCTGACATATTTAATACCGCATCTCAAAGACAGGTATACCTAGCACCGCATCCCAAAGGCAGGCAAATTAAGCACCGTATCACAAAGGCTGACATATTTAGTAACGCATCACAAAGACAGGCATACCTAGCGCCGCATCTCAAAGACAACGCATCCCAAACTCATGCATACCTAGCACCGCATCCCAAACACAGGCATACCTAGTACCGCATAGAACAGACAGGCAAATTAAGCCCGTATCACAAAGGCTGGCATATTTAGCACCGCATCACAAAGACATGCTTACCTAGCGCCGCATCACAAAGGAATGCCTAGCAGCGCATCACAAAGACAGGCATACATAACACCACATCACAAAGACATGCTTACCTAGCACCGCATCACAAAGAAGGAATACCTAGCAGCGAATCACAAAGAAGGAATACCTAACACCGCATCACAAAGACAGCCATACCTAGCAACGCATCACAAAGAAGGAATACCTAGCACCGCATCACAAAGACAGGCATACCTAGCAGCGCATCACAAAGAAGGAATACCTAGCACCGCATCACAAAAACAGGCATACCTAGCACCGCATCACAAAGACAGGCCTACCAAGCACCGCATATGAATTCCAACTGAACAAAGGCAAATCCAACATGAAGCTCGCATTTTCCTCGGTCCAGTTGGCATTCATATTGCCCATGAATGTCAGCTGAAAGCAGTTCAATGCTTCATTGTAAACGAAAAGATAGCGCGAGTATATGTCGAAGTGTTGCAGCAATAGGAGGCAGGGAACCAGGCACCCTGTAAGTGTTTCCTGTACCAAATATAGTACCCATGGATATCGTCAACTGTTAAATCGAGGCTAGTCTTGTGGTAGCCACTCCAGTCATGGATGTTACTGAAATTGCGTTATTGGGAGTCGGGTCATGATGACAACCGTAACATTACTTTGTGTATATTGAAGTCTCTCCGACTGGGAACCCTGAATATGTTATTTACTAGTCATCGGCACATCTATCGAGACGATGAACACGCTTTTAATTAGCTATGTAAACTTCCGGACATAAACATAGGATGGTGGACTGTTACTTTCTCTCCCACCCCTCAATAAACAAGATACAAGTATCTCATGTTGAATACCAATGTGGAGTAACTATTTCATAATGGAAAATGTGGCAACAATACTCGAGAAATAAAACTCCTGAAAATTACTAACACTACAGGTTAGCAAGAAATAGAGCAACAATAGCACACAGGAAAGGAGTTAGGGAGTATGAGGGAAAAGTGGCAAAAGATCTAAAGGCCAACCCGAAAAACTTTTGGAAATATGTCAGATCAAAATCAAGAGTGAAGGAAAACATACCAAGTCTAGAAACGGATGGAGGCAACTTGGAAGTAGATCAATGTGCGAAAGCAAAAATACTAAACTCCTTCTTTAGTAGTGTTTTTACAGAGGAAGACACCGGGGAAATTCCAGAAATAGAAAATCTAATCAATGTAGAAGATACAGCTTTCAATAAATCGGCAAAACTAGATGGAGCAAAATCACCGGGACCAGGCCAGCTACATCCAAACATTCTTACAGAATTGAAATGTGTCATCAGTATGCCTTTATCTATTATCTTTAATAAATTTATACAAGAATAGTACTTACCAAAGTCTTGGAGAAAGGCAAACATTACACATATTTACAAAAATTGGAAATAAAAGGCTAGCCAAAAACTATAGACCAGTTAGCTTAACAAGTGAAGTAGTTAAAATACTGGAATCCATTCTAAAGGACCACAGTATGGAACATCTTACAGGAAACAACATAATTAGCAAATACACAGTTTGGGATTCATAAAAGGAAAATCTATCGCCATTCAACTACTAGAAGTTCTATATGACGTCACAGACGAATTAGACATTTGGATTTCCAAAAGGTATTCGACAGTGTGCCTCATACCAGACCTCTAAAAAAAGGTGAAAAGCATTGGTATCGGAGGATATCTACTTCATTGGATATGTTCATATTTGACGGATAGAAAACAAAGGATCAGCCTCAAACTGGGTCAACGTCAAAACTGGTGTCCCTCAGGGAAGTGTCCTCGGTCCGGTTTTATTTTTAATATACATAAATGACCTACCAGGAATAGTATCGACAACTATAAAACTTTTGCGGATGACAGCAAAATCTATGGAAGAAGCAATACACAGAATGAGACTAGTAGCATCCAAAAAGACCTGAATAATTTGTGGGAATGGTCTAGAAAACGGCAGTTGAAATTCAACGCAGAAAAATGATAAACATTACCTTTAGGATCCGATAATCCAGGAGTAAATTATACAATGAAAGAAGGAAACCTGGATAAGGAATTAGAAAATATCAAACAAGAAAAAGATCTTGGCGTCATATTTGACAATTCATTTAAATTCAGTGTACATACAGCGGAATGTGTAAGAAAAGGCAAACAGGATGACAGGGCTAATAAGCAAATGTTTCTGCCATTATATAAAGCTTTGATAAGACCACAGCTTGAGTATGCCGGTTACAGTAGGAATCCAATGCTCTTATAGGATATACAAGCCATAGAAGGGGTACAAAGACGTGCAACAAAACTGGGGAATGGGCTGAAAGAAAAAACATACAGAGAAAGGCTATTGATTCTTCGTCTTCCAACATTGGAGTACAGAAGGAAAAGGAGTGATGTTATCCAAATGTATCTATATAGGCTAATGACTAACAAAGACAATCTTAGCCTAGAATCGGAAAATGATAAAACCATCAAAAGAGACCAGAACAAGGGGCCACAATAAGATATAAGAAAAACAACGTGTAAGACTGAACATCAGGAAACATTTCTTTTCTATCCGAGTTATAGATGACTGGAATAGCTTGCCAGGAAGTGGCTTTATATCTACTTTGAACCATCATTGGAAGGATCTTGAAGCAAATCCAACCCAAGTTGTTTCTAAGTCACTCAGGAACTGTATATATTGTACATAAACTAATGTTGACTACAACAGGCACTTATGAGGTGCATCATATAGAACATGAAATCAAGAATAAATAAATCTCGAGTAAAAGAAATTAAGGAGCTCCATAGGATCATGGAGACAAAAATCAAGGAGGTCCAGAAGCTTATAGCTTAATACAGACTGGTGAACTGATAACTGATATAACTGATCTAGGTGGTCCCAGGTTCTTAATCTTGACTAGGGAGTGCATGGAACAAACGTTTGTAGATGGGGCAATTAGGAATATCGGGAACCGTAAATATGTTATACAGACAGGGATGTCAAAAACCAGAATATGACCGAGGACAGAAAGATTAAGTGGGGATACAGGTTACCAAAAAGATAGGAATACGCGGATAAAGAAAGGGACGCTGAGAATAACTAAGTTACGAATAGGATAGGGAGACCAGTTACCACACAGAATCTATCGGATACCACTGTCACAGATACCTAAATTTTGGATATTGAAACTATTTATAAAGTTCTGGTATAAACCCTTCAGTAATGTCATGGGGATATCGAAACTAAGAATTATGTCGCCGTGTGTTTCTTCTTGAAGTTATAGAGGAAAATGACTCAACTCACCGGCTTTTCCTGACTAATGAGCTGGTATCTCAGGCCCGGGGGATGGGGGTTGGCCACGCGTGTGGGAGACGGTATCCTGGGAAAGAACCGAGGTTTAGTGTTTTCGAAGCCTCTACCGTAATCAGACAGCGTTGTGGTGCGCGGTTTCCCCGTTCGCTTCGTGAAGACGTTTGCCATTCTCTACCAGCAATGGGTCCAAGACTATCAATGAACTATATCTTGTCTCCCAAGACTTCTGACTCTTTAGACCAAACCCAGCTCAGAAATACGTATTAGCTCATAGCAAGCGCATTATATCACTTCAGATATGCATGCATATATCGAGGTAACCATGTTATGACGTCAAAGTATTGTGACGTCATTAACAATATCACATTAAGTGGTATTGTGACGTTACAATTCAGGGCCCGTCTGCAGGACAGTTTTCATGCTCAAACTCAGACTTTGTACTGAAGTCCATTTCTTACTCTGCTGATAAATCATTATCCCACCTTTCACAGGTATGTCTCCCGTTTTAGCCGAGAGAGATTCTATTAATGACACATCACATTTTTATATGATTTTTACGAATTTGGGAGAGACTAGAAGCAAAAAAAGGGTTCAATCAGCCATAATTGACATTTTGACCGTGTCGCGCGATTTATATGAGTTTCAATTATTTGGGTCTGAGCACAGAATCCATGCTTGAGATAACGGTTTCGTGAATACGGGCCCTGGTGTATTTACTTGGCGAATCTCTCTTACTGAACTTAAACAACGCGACAAAAACTAAGTAATAGTCTCTGAAAATCGTGAATAGCTTATTTCCACTTATTATATTTTCGTTAACGAAACACTGCAATCAAGAGTTTAACATTTTAGCAAAACTGCACGAGAAAAGCTGAATGGACTGTAGTTAGTCTGTATTAATTAAAAAATAACCATTTATTTTTACCAATTAAAAAGAGGATTTTGTCATTGGTGACTTATAAATGGAGAGTTAAGTACTTGCCCTGTGGTAGCGCTGTTCTGCACCACGCGTGTATTGGTGATATATACACACTGTAGGTACAGGTATATCTCATACTGGTATAATACAGGTATATCTATTTTGGCGTTTGTAATTAGCTGTTCTTTATAGATTAAGAAACGGCAATCTTTACAGTCAATACGGGTCACGGTGAGAGTCGTCGATGGGTGTCCGGGCTTGAAAGTTTTATTGGGCACTTTACCAGTAGCTAGGGAATTAAATTCTAAATCGCGCATGCGTGTTGTGTTACGTTGCCACATGGTATTAGTCGATCCCCAGGTTTTACCCGATAAATCGTTCGTGGAGTTTTCCACCTTAACCTGTTTGATTCACCTGAACCAGGTAAGCTGTCATTATTTTCATTATTTTTAAATACTCATTTATGACTATTGAAAATGGTACTGGGCATATGCATGCAAAAACCATTCATGTTCTCGTGATTAAATATTGCAGGTGGTATTTAATAGCCGTCAACTTTCGCCCTGCCCCTATACAACATCTCGAAACTTCGGGAGTAGTTTGTTTACGTTCAGTCATTGGTTTGGAACAATTGTAACGTGCCAAGTATACAATTACGTTGCTGTTTCGTGTCGATACCGACACATACATTATACTTATGTTATACTTTCGGCATAGACTCATATTTCATGTTGTATATACGTCTCTGACATTATATATAGGTATTATACATGTCTGATATTCTATGTAAAACATTACGAAGACTTTGTAATAACGTCTGATAAAAATATACTACTAAGCGTTTTCTTACAATAACTATGAATTCCCACGTTTTATTTTCGTATAGAATTAAATCAAGACATGCCATTCATATTTAACCACGTACAAAGTGGGCAACACATTAACACTATTACACTTCAACAGATATAGTACGGATATAATCTTATCAACCAGTGTGTCGATACAGATCACCGATCACTCGTAGATAATATATACGTGTACCCCACTTAACGTATTTCGGTAGATAGTTAAAGTACAGGTGTCGTTCTATAATGTTGGGGACGGAATTAGGGGGAGGGGTGGGGGTGGGGGTCTGGTTGGTGTGATATAATCGTTGTTACACGAATAGGTGAAATAAAAAATATGTATGTTTATTGATTTCAAATGTTGTTTTCTTTAAAATGTCATGGGGGAGGGTCACACATTACCATTCGGTGCGAATACGCTAACGAAGTTCAATGAATTGCTATATTTCTCGAACCTTACATTGTATATAGCTGTAATATCTACCCCTCAACTTCCACGCTGTACAGAAGGGTTCGAGGAGATGGGGATACGTTGCCCCTTCACTAGATGGGATAGATAGGAGGATACACCCATCAAATAGCTAGACGGTTGGGTGTGTGCATACGTTGCCAAAAGACTTAGAAAAGTATCCAGTTATCACGGTAAACGGTCCTCTGTAAAGTTATAGTTTAAGACAGTTAGAATAGCGTAGAGGGGACCCAACATTTACTGTAAGGACATGCTACTTCTATACAGTATAGACGGGTAAAACACATCCTCGATACTCCAGGGGTTACGCTTTACATGTCATAGCAAAATGTAAGGCTCAGTGTGCGCCAACTTGATGACGAGACTAAAAGACTAGTTCGATCCCTTGATATACATCAAAAGAATCTCGCGGTCACGTAACGGTAAAAATTGACAGACTTTGAAGTCGGGCGTCTCTCCTTTGTAATCTGCAAAGGACAGGTATCAGCCTAGCGATTGGTCAGTATTTTTCCCCCCCCCGAGACCAATCAAAAAATTATTTTCGTGCCTTCAATTTTGCCATGACATATTCCAGGGGTGCAGAGAGCGAAAGTGAGCGTACCCCTGGATATCGAGGATGGGTAAAACAAAACAATACACATATCACATGTACAATCGTCAACATAACTTATCTGAGGTCAGAGTTGTCCGCTTATTTTCCAAACAAACTTTGTCTAAAAGCAGAAGCTCAATAAACCGTTAGGAATGTGTGTGTATGTGGACCAGTGTGATACACACCTTACTCGAACCGTATATCTTCTATAGTAAATCACCAAAGTATATAGGTATTACATGTTTTACCAGTGATATAATAATAATGACAATGATCTTCTCTAACTGGAGTGTGTAGGTACGAAATCTCCATCCGAGGGTTACGATTCTTCAACGTCCAAAAATACCCGTAGAATTAAAGTATTCATCTACAAAATCTTGTCTTCGACAATACCGCCCATCTATGATATGACGTCATCTGATTGCAGGAGTGAAGTTACGTCATTTAATTATAATATAATTATAATATTAATTCGAGGTTTTTATATACCGCTTTATCACAACCTAGTTCGTAGGTCGTCTCAAAGCGGTTCACAAATCATTATCCGTGGTTATAGGGCCTTTGCAACCACCCAATACCTTTCTCAACTCCCTGGGGAGCATACAGCCGGAGCTGCCATTTCGGCGCTAACAGTTAGCATTCAACAATTCTAGCACTGCCCAACCACGGACTCATTTACAGCTGAGTAAAGTATCTTGCTCAAAAATACAACATAGTGCCGTGACACGAACACGCAACCCTTCGGCCACGAGCCCGACGGCCTACCACTAGACTACCGTGCCTCCATAAATTTGCTATCAATAACACGTCATAATTGTTTTACTCGTATCTCGGATATTTGTGAACTTCTCAATCGTGTAATCTTCAGTACTGCTTTTCACGTTTAAACATCAGAAAACACGAGTTAGTATATAGCAATCACTTGAGTGGGTGTGTGGTTTAGGTCGGACGGTTAATGGGAGGTGGTTATAACAGTTAAACAGTTAACGATACTACATATTACAACCTGTGGCGGATTTGAGAGTTAAGTGGTGGTAGATCTGACAAGGCTACGCCCTATAGGATCGATATGATACCAAATATCAGAGGCATTCCGGAATCCATCGTCTCCGCCTTCGTCCCACCAGGACAAATATTGATCTATAAATTGGCACCTGGATAAGATTTCGTAAGGCCATCCCCAGTCATACGAACACAGTTTCTCTATCTATAATATTTACTGTACAAATCCAATCCAACATGATTAAACAGGGTATATGTACTTATCTTCCTTATTATTTGAATAGTATATGCTTTCGTTAAGTTTTGTGTATTATGGGGACACTTCAAGTGGGCTTCTGTTATTGATAACGAACTGATAGTTTAGGTCGGCTGTAATCGATTTCCCGGTGTCGAGGTCACATTAAATACTAGCAATAGATATATCAAATGTTATCTGTCTGCTTTAATTGAAATACCATTGATTCTCAATTAATGCCCCGTGTACGTTGGAATGAGTAACTACGATGTATCAATAACAATCAGCAGTAAATATTACCGATATATATCATTTAAAACGAGGAGTAAATACAACCGTTAAATCACTTATGATCAGGAGTTAATACATAGTTATCCCCCATTACAAACAGCAATCTCACATATGCGACCTTCAAACATTTGGTATGACCTTAGTGTCATTAGTCCAACAAATGAAATAGCCCTTCATCCCAACACACGTATTTTGAAGCCCAAATATCGCTTAAATATCTGAACTCATTTGCCCCTTTCTGACCTTGAAAAAGGGTCAAGGTTGACTAATTTGAACAAAGTAGGTATCTCGTCAACCCTACAAGCCAAATATAGTTCCATACCTTATGATTCTCTAGGAGGAGCTATTTGACTTGTTTACATGGTTGACCCCTGTAACATAAAAAGCGGGCCAATGTCAATATCTTTACTCTTGGCCTTATGAATCGTTTAAAAGCAGCACTAACAAAGTAAAAAGTTCATTACTTATATGAAATATAAAAGTTTTGATATATTATCCATACTCTCCTATGTTGATATTTGACCCTTGGTTATGGATTCTTTGATGACGACAGGAATATGTCATGGACAAATTGGAAAGGTCATTACTCTTGGTCATACAAAGGATAAAACGTCGACGCTGGCATTTTCTTAATTGGAAAAAAATAGATCGATTTTACCATATTAGCATTTATTTTTAATCCGTGTGCTTTTATGGCCACGGGTATATGAGATTAACGAATCAAAAAGTATATGACTAAGTAATGGGTCGACAGTTGCATTAATGAAGAAGATTTAAATAGAATATTGAATAGCAAACTATTGAAAGGCCCGAACATGGTATTCAAAACGGTCTGTGACCTTAGCTTTAAACGTATGGTAATGAAACCTCATCGAAATCCTGATTAGGATAGACTCTTTTTGTGCAGTGTAAATTGAATAATGTTTGCGATTTTAATGTTTTACTTTCAGTTTACTTCATGACGAGAATCTTAACTTGATCTTTGTCCTAATGACAAGTCAAGGCTTGGTCCAACATAATTATCCCTGTATAAGAACAGTACAAGGAACCGCTTTTTAGCTTTGACGACAGGATATTCCTGTAAGTTTTTCATCATCCTCATCATCATCATCATCATCATCATCATATCATCATCTTCCTGGACAAGAGCTGACCCTAAGGGGTGTGCTGCCAGCGACATGGTGCACATGTCTCGAACCGCCAGTTAAAAAATTAAAAGCAGTGAGACATTTAAAGTGACTCACTATATGACAGCTATGAGCTGTGTTGCATTAAAACTGTGGTATCCGGCAATGTAGGTTCAGTGGTGTCTGCCTGAAAGGTCCTCTGGTCGTTATGAGGTCTGGAAGGATACTTGGAATTTGGTTCCAGGTTATGATGGTTCGTGGAAGAAAGGAGTTCGGGTAGATGCCAGTCTTGACCGGGATTTGATTCAAGGTCGCTGGCGGCTCCATGGGTCCTTGCATCTGCCGGCCTGATCTTATGGCTGAACTCCACGTCCACAATGTTGTTGATGATCTTGTGTAACAACGTTGCCCTGGTCATGGCCCTCCTTACTGCCAGAGGTTCCCATCTGAAATGTCACAGTATGGCCGTCATGCTACCTTCATCTCGGAGTAGTTCTGTGTAGTAAAGTTTGCAGCCCGCTCCATCATCTCGATATATTTGGCTTGATCGGTGTCCCATACTGCTCCAGTGAATTCCATTATGGGACGGACTAGAGTATTTGAACATCAAATTGACTGACGAAAGAAACTTGCAAGTTAAAACAAATGTATATCATCGTTCATAAACACAAAAACTTAGTTGCTTCAGTTTGTGTTTATGCTTCCCTAACGCGACACGAAAGCACAGAGTCTCAGCCCTAAATATATTTTATTGGTGACATTGTCAGCCGTGTACTGGGTGATCCTGGCCCCCACGTCAGAAGAGAGACGTACCGGATGGTACTGTTTCGTTTGATAGACTGAGCTTCTATTGCATAATAAGGCTAGTTCAATTGAGGGTATGTGAGGATGTCTATAGATGTATAATATTTATCCACGTCACAAGGTTTATATACAACAACGTCCTTTAGAATATAAGCTACCAGACGCCGCTTTTCTCAGGTATGGTGGGCGGATAGGGCCAAACTACAAATCTCGGGATCTCACTCCCTCGACATAAAGTCTAAAACGCGAAAAACACGACGGCAAAGCAGCAAAAATAGGACTGCGAGGGAGCATATCCATATGACTGTGAATAGATACAAGGCATACAAACAAACCATGGCCAGGTGAACAAACGGGCGCATAGCCAACAAAAAATCGGTGATCACTTTCGCGGAGTCACTTTAATGGCAGATGACATGGCGATTTTACATGTCAACCAGGTTAAACGGCCCTGAAATAGGCAAATAACAATAGAATACGACCATTACATTCAGTGTGAACATTTAAAGATTCCAGGGACAATAGGTTTATAGTACCGACCCGTATATGGAGGTCGCGTATATCCAGCTTTAATGTCATGTATAGACACTTTAGTCTCTATTTTGAGTGTAAGGAACGACAACTCGGGGTAGAGCTGGGTGGTTAAGTTTATACTTTGATTGTCTATCGAGCGAATGTTGTGTCGACCGCAACATTTTGGTCGATTCCGTCAAAAGCGTTTCGAAACCAATTTTGCAATAGAATATGTCGTGTGAGGGATTCTGCGCGATACTTTGAACGCGAAATGATTTTATTCTGAGACCGACTTTATTTACCAACACACGATGCATTAAAGTTAATAATACGCGGTTTAGGTGGTTAACGAACTTACAAATTTATCTGATTATATGGTTGTGTTTCCCTGTGAACTTACTTACAAACTTATCTGAGTATATGGTTGTGTTACCCTGTGAACTTACTTACAAACTTATCTGATTATATGGTTGTGTTTCCCTGTGAACTTACTTATAAACTTATCCGATTCTATGGTTGTGTTTCCCTGTGAACTTTGGACACAATGCCTGCTTCTTCTTGGACACAGGACCGATTAAAGCACGATCGCATAAAAGAATTCGGAGTGAACGATTTAAGTACTAACCGTATTCGTTGTATTGCCAAGTCTGAGGTCAATGGTACAGCTCTGGTCAAACCGTTACTCAAACTTCACACGTGAAAATCTTACCTTTTACAACAGGACGTGTTTATAACACCTTTTCGCTTCGGTTACATGCGGGGCTGGGATGCCCATTACAGTTCCGGTACAAACCTTTATAATCCCATGACAAAATCACAGAGTCATATCGAGAGCCAATCTGATTAAAATCATATGTTACATGGCTTCGCTAACTTCGTACTACACCTGAACAGATGTTCAGGCGGAGCCATGTAAAAGATGATTTTAATCAGATTGGTCGAGAGCGTGCATCATATAAAGCATCGAACTATGTTGATATGGCATTTACAGTTTACATGAATGCCATGTGAATTTGGTAGGGTAATATAGTGGCAACACCATACAGTAGTGTATATATTAGTATAACTTGATGCGTAACATGGAAACTGAAACAACAAAGGGAGACAATTTAAGCATCTGTGTTCGTGTCTGACTGACGATATACGGCACCAAATTGCCTTGCCGATAAAATACCAGCGATTGCCATAACGACTACGTCACCGACACTTTATAGAAAAAGATTTATACATATATAATTGTTCCACAGTCATGTCGATTTGAATGGTGTATCTTATATGTTTACCGGTGCAGTGTTCGAGTCAGCTGTACTTTCTCGGCTAAGTGATTTGGTGTCATAGATCGTGAGGTTGAATTACGGACAGGGCACAAGCGGAAAAGTCTTCCTTTGTAATTTATGTTTCTGTGATTGTGGTGTAACATTTATATATATCTATGTTTCAGAGCCATGTCGAAAGTGTATACCGTTCTCGGAGTGGACACCGCCGTTGGAGCAGCAGTAGCTTTCTATCTTTCCAAGAAGGCAAAGGTGAAGGGTGTTCCCCTTGGCAACCCGAGAGGAAAAGGAGAGGTGGACCCGCCCCCGGGCGTGGAAATAATTCGCTGCGACCCCCAAAACGTCCGGAGTGTGGAACATGCATTGAACGGATCTGATGGATGTTTTATATTCACAATGTCGGACTTTAGAAACGACCCCAGCTTCATGGTGAATGAGTTAACGTACGGACGGACAATTGCGGAAGCGTGTAAACGGTCGCGTGTGCCTCACGCGATTTTCTGCACTGAGCCACACACAACCGATATCCAGGGGATCGGCGCACGCCACATGGTCGCTAAGGCTGAGATTGAGCAGTGTATTTGTGTACACGACGTCCCTCTCACCCTCCTGATGCTGCCCCGGAGATACGAGGATATCATTGACTATTTGGCACCTGAAAAAGTCGGACAGGACTTCTTGTTCGGTACGTCAATTACACGCAACAATTAAGACACCTGTTCATGTTAGGGGGTGACAAGTATCGTTTGAGGCGACCCATGTGGTCTCTTTCTTCTTGTGATGTTCTTTGATGACCTCGGCCTCTAAAAGTTTTCCGCTCTTCCGATACGGATGATACAATTATCGTAACGGTCAACCAATCCAATACGTTATCGAGAACCTTAGATTTTCTCATAGTGTATTCCAAGTGTTGCAGAGAAATATATGTATATTGAATTGTGTCCTATTGTTTATGAACATTGAAGAAACCTAAAATGATCCGTTGCACCAAATGCAACCGCTATAGGCTTTGTGTTGTCATTTCTACGTTTGCACACCTGTATACCGTTTAGTGATAATTGCATCCCCAGGGACATGTCACATATAAACCGCCGTCACGCTATATATAAAGTAGTACTGTGGTGTCTATCCATATGTATCCTAAGATATCTATAGCATGTTACATGTCCCTGTAATTGCATTCATAGATAGTCAAATACTTACTTGTAATGTCAATGCAAGTTTGAATCAATAAAATATCTTGAACAGTCCAATATTAAAACGTCGCGTCCGCAGAAACATACTGCACGTAAGTCATAATTTATAACTCTAAAACATTGTTCTTGGATAAAGCTTAATTAGTAAAGTACTGGTCTGATTCAACATTTCAGAACTGCCAATGGACACAGAGACCCCTCTGAGTATGATCGGCGCTGAGGACTTGGGGCCAGTGGTGGAGCACATCTTCAATAACAGGGACCATTTCACTGATGTACGGGCCAACCCCGGTCCTATCAGTCTGTGTGGTAGTAAGGTGGCCCGCCAAACCTTCGCTCAGTGCCTGTCCTACAACTTACGACCTCTCCAGTTCTTTGACAAACCAGTAAGTTCAATCTTCAATTAACTTTTGGCATCCCCGTACCACTGCCTTAACTGTCAATAGGCATTAGAAGCATTGTTCTTGCATGACTTCAGCTTTGATAAATAATATCTGAAAATAAACTGGATTCGAACCCTGGACCTCAGATCATTATACTGTCACCCTAACAACTGAGCTACCTGGTAAGAACAGTCCTGGTCAGGAATAAGTGTTTTTTGTCAGTTCGAATTCCAACTTTACTACCTTAATTCTTGAGTTGCTATTTTTTCTGACTTCTCAAGCTTCAACAGGTCATTTACCGTCATTACATGCCAAGTTTTTGTGTTCTATCAAGACAACTAAAACCAAACTTGGTCACAAGCCGGGATCTGTCCTTTCTTTTCTCTCTTACCTATACTACTTTACCTTTCGGCGGTGTCTGTATAGGTCCTTAGCTGGTGTTATGTTCCGGCCTGGGGACAAACTCATTGCCTTCCTGATGAATTTATTTTGCTGTTCTCGTGTAGATGATATACAACAAATGACTTTTAGAGAGGCATAAATAAATTTTGATTAATCTACAAATGCATTATTTTTAATTTTAGATGACCCACACAATGTACCGTGACGCTAATTCCAAACGGCCTTGGCGGGAGGACTACGCAAATATGTTTTTGTTCCTGATGCGCACACGTTGGGACCATAAGTACAGCACCGAACGCACGCGCAAATTCAACCCCGACACAAAATACTTTGAGGAATGGGTACAAGCAAATGCCCAGGCCCTTTACACTGCCTACACAGAGGTAAAACCGGAGGACAGGCTGCGCTGGTGGTTCAACAAGATGTACAGCCGTTCCTAGCTCACGAGGCCAACAGTGACGACGAGGAACGTCTTTATGTTAGGTTTAAAACTAGTAGTATATGTTCATGCAGTGACTATCTGAAACTTATATTTATACGGAGGATGGTTGGAGAATAATACCAACCTATATACATGTGTAGTGACTTCCTGCGAAAAAGGCATTAATGGGATGTGAGCCTGCAAACGAGTTTGTTTGATGGTAACAAGTAAAGGAGGAGATCAAGACCTGTCAGGCCAAATGTGGTAACTCAATTAAGCATAACTTAACGAGGTCAAAAAGTGGTAGTAAAATGTGATGGCTGCATTGAACAAAACTGGAGGAGGACAGCAGTGATACGTAGGAGACACAGAACTGAGTTAGGTCATCAGTGTTATGGTGTAATGAAATATTGTACTTTTTTGTAAACAGCATCATGTACAAAAAACTCTGTCACAAATAGATTTAATAAGTCCTTGATGTATCCTAGTTACTGTTAAGCACTGTTGTAGATCCGTTATTATGTCATCCAAACTGGGATTCATCAGGTAAAATTTCTTGAATTATGAAGAAATTGATTGATGCCATTACTGTTTATCAAAATCCGAAATTATATATTAATTTATTATAACTATGTGATTGAAACTAGAAACATAGGCATTTGTCGTGGGAAGTAGGTACATGGTGTTTATGTATACTGGGAGTGATGGGATACGGTAAATGTACTCTAAATTAACACGTGGTGAACTGTTATAATTGCCCCCATTAACATTGTACATGTATGTGTCATCATTTACTGTGCAGTACATTCTGATTAATACATGTAACACTCTAATCATTTGTCAGGGAAAAAGTGGAATCATGCAAAATCTGACATCAAAAATATTCTCCTACCATTCAGAGAATTATCGCCAGTTCAACCTGTTCAACCTGTTCAAGACCCTTCTTGCACTCCCTAGGGTATGATTTCTTTGTCACCCCTAGGGTATGATTTCTTTGTCACCCCAAGGGTATGGTTTCTTTGTCATCCCTAGGGTATGATTTTTTGTCACCCCTAGGGTATGATTTCTTTGTCACCCCAGGGTGTGATTTCTCTGTCATCCCAGGGAATGATTTCTTTGTCATCCCTAGGGTATGATTTCTTTGTCACCCCAGGGTATGATTTCTTTGTCACCCCTAGAGTATGATTTCTTTGTCTCCCCAAGGGTATGGTTTTCTGTCACCCCCTAGGTAATTATTTCTTTGTAACCCTTGGGTATGGTTTTCTGTCAACCCCTAGGGTATGATTTCTGTGTCAACCCTCATTCCAGCACCAATAAAATCACTTCTTGGGTTGGAGATTTGCCTGACTATGAAGGTCGGGGGGGATCTATTGATCAAATATTTTTCAGCTGACAAAACAGTTTTGCAGAAAAGAGTGATTAAAATAATGGTAAAACAGTTATGCTCCTACTTGTCAATGTGATCATTTTGTAACTTTCAACCATAAAGGTAATTCCGTCCAAGTTTTTGTATTTCCATTTTCAGTAGTGCATGGTCATATTCAAGACATTTCATGCCATTTATGTACTTCTATTTAATGAATATTTTGTTAAGGAATAAAAATATAATCATACATATCTGTTTTGCTTTGTAATATGAAATTGATGTATGGTGCTAAATATATTCAGGAGAGATGTAAACTGTTGACTTCTCTATCTACAAATACATATTTGACCTATTTTTCTACAGATTTAGATAGTTGGGTGTTAGGATGGATGAAAAGAAAATCTTTTCATCAATTTTATTCTGGTCATGGAACTGATTTTGGAAGAAAAAAAAAAGAACAAAAAACACTGTTGTAAAATACAAAACTTTAATTTTCTATAAAATAAAATGTAATTTGAGATAAGTACTGGCCTGGAACTGGCCAACTGGTTACAGATCTGACTGGTCTGGTACTTGTTACAGATCTAAATGGCTTGGTACTGGTAACAGATCTAACAGGCCTGGTACTGGTCACATATCTAACTGACCTGGGATTGGTTACAGATCTAACTGGCCTGGTATTGGTTACAGATCTAACTGGCCTGGTACTGGTTACAGATCTAACTGGCTTGGTACTGGTTACAGATCTAACTGGCCTGGTACTGGTTACAGTTCTAACTTGCCTGGTACTTGTTACAGATCTAACTGGCCTGGTACTGGTGACAGATCTATCTGGCCTGTTACTGGTTACAGATCTAACTGGCCTGGTATTGGTTACATATCTAACTGGCTTGGTACTGGTCACAGATCTAACTGGCCTGGTACTGGTTACATATCTAACTGGCCTGGTACTGGTTACAGATCTAACTGGCCTATACAAGTTACATTTAAACTGAAAAAAATAAATCTTTTATACATTTACAAAGTAATGGAAACAATAAAACAACAAATAAACTGGAAGAACATTGGAAAAAACTATGAAAAAAATAATTCAGCTAAAAACTTAATCAACATAAACAGCATCTGATACAAACCCTAAAGTGAAAAGGGTAAAAAGTATTGTCCTTACACAGGAAAGTGATAAGATATGGACATGGGACAGGCATAGTTATCATCCTTACATATGGACATGGGAAAGGGATATTCATCACCCTTACATATGGACATGGGAAAGGGATATTCACCACCCTTACACATAGACATGGGACAGTGATATCCACCACCCTTACATATGGACATGGGACAGTGATATTCACCACCCTTACACATGGACATGGGACAGGGATATTCACCACCCTTACACATGGACATGGGAAAGGGATATTCACCACCCTTACACATGGACATGGGACAGTGATATTCCCCACCCTTACACATGGACATGGGACAGTGATATTTATCACCCTTACGTATGGACATGGGACAGTGATATTTATCACCCTTACGTATGGACATGGGACAGTGATATTCACCTCCCTTACACATGGACATGGGACAGTGATATTCAACACCCTTACACATGGACATGGGACAGGGATAGTTATCACCCTTACCTATGGATATAGGACAGGATTAGATATGGACATGGGACAGGCATAGTTATCATCCTTACATATGGACATGGGAAAGGGATATTCATCACCCTTACATATGGACATGGGACAGTGATATTCCCCACCCTTACACATGGACATGGGACAGGGATATTCACCCCCCTTTCACATGGACATGGGACAGGGATAGTTATCACCCTTACCTATGGATATAGGACAGGATTAGATATGGACATGGGACAGGCATAGTTATCATCCTTACATATGGACATGGGAAAGGGATATTCATCCCCCTTACATATGGACATGGGAAAGGGATATTCACCACCCTTACATATGTACATGGGACAGTGATATTCACCACCCTTACACATGGACCTGGGACAGTGATATTCACCACCCTTACGTATGGACATGGGACAGTGATATTCACCACCCTTGCACATGGACATGGGACAGTGATATTCACCACCCTTACTCATGGACATGGGACAGGGATAGTTATCACCCCCTACATATGGATATAGAACAGGGATAGTTATGACCCTTACACATGGACATGGGACAGGGATAGTTATCACCCTTACCTATGGATATAGGACAGGATTAGATATGGACATGGGACAGGCATAGTTATCATCCTTACATATGGACATGGGACAGGGATAGTTATCATCCTTACACATGGACATGGGACAGTGATATTCACCACCCTTACTCATGGACATGGGACAGGGATAGTTATCACCCCCTACATATGGATATAGAACAGGGATAGTTATCACCCTTACACATGGACATGGGACAGGGATAGTTATCACCCCCTACATATGGATAGAGAACAGGGATATTCACCACCCTTACACATGGACATGGGAAAGGGATATTCACCACCCTTACACATGGACATGGGAAAGGGATATTCACCACCCTTACACATGGACATGGGACAGTGATATTCACCACCCTTACACATGGACATGGGACAGGGATAGTTATCACCCCCTACATATGGATAGAGAACAGGGATAGTTATCCCCCTTACACATGGACATGGGACAGGGATAGTTATCACCCTTACATATGGATATAGGACAGGATTATAGTTATCATCCTTACATATGGATATAGGACAGGATTATAGTTATCACCCTTACACATGGACATGGGACAGGGATAGTTATTACTCTTACACATGGATATAGGATAGGGATTTAGCTATCATCCTTACATATGGACATAGGACAGGGATTTAGTTATCATCCTTACAAATGGATATAGGACGGGGAGATAGTTATCACCCTTACACATGGATATAGGACAGGGATTTAGCTATCATCCTTACATATGGACATGGGACAGGGATTTAGTTACCTTTACATATGGATATAGGATAGGGAGATAGTTATCACCCTACCATATGGACATGGGACAGGGTTAGTTATCACCCTTACAAATGGATATAGGACAGGGATAGTTATCACCCTTACATATGGGTATAGGACAGTGATATATATATCACCCTTACACATGGGTATAAAACAGTGATATATATATCACCCTTACATATGGGTATAGGACAGTGATATATATATATCACTGTCCTATATCCATTTGTAAGGGTGATAACTAACCCTGTCCCATGTCCATGTGTAAGGGTGGTGAATATCACTGTCCCATGTCCATATGTCATATGTAAGCGTGATATATATATCATCCTTACACATGGACATGGGACAGTGATATTTATATCACCCTTACACATGGACATGGGACAGGGATTATAGTTATCACCCCCTACATATGGATATAGGAAAGGGATTAAGTTATCACCCTTACAAATGGATATAGGACAGGGATAGTTATCACCCTACCATATGGACATGGGACAGGGATTATAGTTATCACCCTTACAAATGGATATAGGACAGGATTATAGTTATCACCCCCTACATATGGATAAAGGAGAGGATTATAGTTATCACCCCCTACATATGGATATAGGAAAGGGATTAAGTTATCACCCTTACAAATGGATAGGACAGGCATAGTTATCATCCTTACACATGGGTATAGGACAGTGATATATGTATCACCCTTTCACATGGACACAGAACCTCAAGGACTCACTGATTACCTGTACAAACCAGATCCAGAACAGGATGGATATGTCATCTCCTATGCATGCTGAATGAGGATGGGATGCAATTACCTCTCTTACATATAGATACAGTACAAATTTATAATTGTCTCCTTTCTGAAAGACACTGGACAGGGATATGATTTTCTCCCTTACACGTAGACAGTGGGCAGTAATGGAGTCATCTTACACACAAACACAGGAACAAATTATTCGTCTGTATAACTAGGACTTCAAATGTTCCAGTTCCAAGGAAAGTTGTTTGATTTCTTCCATAAACAGTTCCTCTTCTTCAAAAATAATGAGCTGTCTCATCTCCTGTAAAATAAAATAGAATTATATATGATCCCTCATCAAACAAATATGATTTATAAGATGCTTTTCACCAATCTTTAATTTCCTTTTCTACAACTGAGTGGTTTTCTACACAAGTTTATCATGTGTTAACTCTTGCCATGCACATGTAGTTTGAATATGGATAAAACACCTCAACACAATTGTCAAACCCTCTCTTGTGACTAAATAAATTTTAAATGAAATGAAATCTCACCTGAGCAGACAGCTGTGATGTGTGAGCTCCAAATCTGTAGAAACATTCACCACCTTTAACTGTGTGCATGATGCTATTGGACACAGTTTTGACGATAATCTCTGAAAAATAATTGTTCCATATTAGCAAGAAACAAAAACTAAAGAAATCGACTTGTAGCTGTTAGCAATATAGCAGTATGACTGTTTACCAAACTTTTGGAGCAGTTGTACAAAGGTAACATAAGAAACAACTCCGATTTCCAGAATTTATTGTTTCTAAATGCTTTAAACTGTTTTAAAGTATTTCCAAATTTTATATCTTCAGCCTTTGTGATGAACACCTTTACACTTAAAGCTGCATACAGAGTTTTTAGTACACATATCTAATTACAAAAGAAAACACCACATTTAGAGTGATTTCACATGCTATTAGCTAGTTAACGTTGGAATGTTTTGGTTTTAGAATCACAGACTGCATCTGTCATTTACCAATGTTCAGCTGTTTTTATTAGGACATACACGATGTATGTTGTATTCAGTACATAATTAAATCAACTGGTAGAACAGTAGAAAATCTGAGTCCCAATGTAGATACCTAAACAATTACCTACCCGCAACAAAGTGATCTTTGATGGGCACGAGTGTGTCAGTGTTTTCGTCACGTTCCATAACAGGTGTATAAATGACATCAAACATGGAGTGAAGGACACACGGTGAGACCTTGTCACACATCATCCGGTCCACACTAAGTCGAAATTCATCACGGTCATTTCTTTTCAATTCCACACCCTGGATGGTACTCCGGATCCCAAAGTATATGCTACCTCCTTTCCCTAAGTGTAAGAAATTCTTAATTTCAATAGTTTTAGTGGGTTGTTTTTTTCAGATACAACATTCATACAGCATACAAAGCTATCATTTTAACTTTACATAGGTCTTTTAATACCATCCAAAGTTATTCAGCTTCAAATTTTGAGAGCTAATTCTCCTTTCAATAAACAGAAAAAAACATTGCTACATTTGATAAATATGCACATAGTATGTAAATATGAGTTTTGGAATATACACAAAAAGTAATTTTATACCAATCAAACCCAAACCAAATCTAAACAGAGGGGGGTGTAACAAGAGCTGGTAAAAGCAAAATGTTTTTTTGTTGTTTTTTAAAGTTCCTTGTTCCTATCTGAAGTTTAACCATATCATTAACAAGACACCCAAAGGGATCTTGGTGCCCACCATGTAAGATCTTCATTAGTTCTTTGTAAGTTTCTTCTTTATCTTAGCTGTTAGATTGATAGTAAATTTGCTGTGTATGACATTATCCTTTCATGGTGAAATTGTCATTTACCCTACATGTATGTACTAGAGCAGTAATTAAAAAGAAAATTCAAGGTTATAATAAGATTTCTGCCGGTCATATTTTCTTCTTATCAAGGAGCTTGAGCTCAAAATGAAATATGCAGAACCAGGGAACAGAAAGAGCATAATTATGATATTTGAGAAAAAAATGTACTTTACCTTCTAAGAAAAAGTGATAACAACTTCAAGTCAAACTCAAAATGTCTGCCTGATTGCTGTCTTTTTTTCTAAAGAAGCCGAAAATGAAACATGTATAACAAATAGTGAAGTCAACAGGAGCCGAGACAGGGACTTAAATAGACCTCTCCGGTACTTTCTGATAAAAAGTGTAAACAAATTTTAACTCTCAAAATTTAAGATGGCTGCCTGTGTTGTTACAATAATGACGCAAGTGTGGAAAGAGTGGCTTTTGACATTTTTTCACTTTTTCTGATCATTATGCCTATTCAGAAGAAAGTACTTAAGAACTTACCACTGTTCAGAAAGCCACACACATGCTTGGCTATGATGGCGGAAGACACCTTGAAGATGGATTTATTGGGCCTTAGTTCATGTGTTGAATCGTTTTCAAACTCCACCTCAGAACCTAAGTAAGAAACAAATATAAACGAATACACGAAACAAATAGTTCTGCTTCTGTAAATCACCAATTTCAAGACAACAAAACTGGTCAACTTTGTCAACAAAAAGGCTGATATTTGGTTTTATAAACAGCCAATATCTCTACATATGAATATAAGAATCCATCATAAGCCTATGTCATTATTAACAGGTAAAATACCCATTTCATCAGAGATCAACAAGAAACGAAATACCTCGAGCTATATAGGACAGCTCATAGTTGCTTTAGTTGACAAAGATCCATTTTTATTTGAGAATTCTTGTAATTTTGTACTTCATTAATGAAACAAGCAATCCAGGAGGGATCTAGGTGCCCACCATTGTAAAATCTTCATTAATTCTATGAAAGTTAAATATTTTCCCTTCGTTTATCTCCTTTTCTCTTATCTGCTGGATTTATAGTTTTGCCAATAGTAAATGCATCGATCTTGTAGTAACCGTTGATTAAATTTCAAACTGCAGGGTTTTAGAGTTCTTTTTCAAAATGAGGTTATTGTTTACTTCATGGGAAATAGTAATAACAATCTTCAACTCTATAAATCCAAGAGGTCTATATAACTGGTGGCCATTTTGTTTTTCTCCAAATAGAAATAACAATCTTGAACACCCTAGATCAGTACCAAAATCAACATGCACAACTATGAACCATGGGAAAGCTACATATGAAAAATTGAGAAAGATCTGTCCAGTTGTTCTTGAGAAGTAGTGATAACAGTGATTGTTGGCAAACGGAAGGCAATTTGATCAGCCCACAATGTAATGACTATGGGCTAAAAAAAGCAATATTACTCTACAAAGAACTGATAAGGTATATGTTACCCAGAATTAAGGTTTTGTCTGTTGATTGTCCGTAGTAATGTGCGGCATCACAGGTTGTTACAGGTCTGATGCTGCCCTCTGTAACACAGTACAACCAACAAATATATAGCTGTACAGACATCAAGTACTTCATAGACTAGACAATGTACAGTGTATACATAACACACAGCCTCAGTAACACAGTACAACCAACAAATATATAGCTGTACAGACATCAAGTACTTCATAGTCTAGACAATGTACAGTGTA